GGCAGGGGCTCCACCACTGAGCCACACCCCAGCCCCTCACTGGGGGACTCTAGGCAGGGGCTCCACCACTGAGCCACACCCCAGCCCCTCACTGGGGGATTCTAGGCAGGGGCTCTCCACTGAGCCACACCCCAGCCCCTCACTGGGGGATTCTAGGCAGGGGCTCTACCACTGAGCACACCCCAGCCCCTCACTGGGGAATTCTAGGCAGGGGCTCCACCACTGAGTCCCTCACTTGGGGATTCCAGGCAGGGGCTCTCCACTGAGCTGTATCCACAATTTTAGTTTAAAGATCTTGGCTCCTGCCCAGTGCTGGCACACACATATAATCCCAGCACTCAGGAGGCACAGGCAGGTGGATCTTTGAGTTCAAGGACAGCCAGGTCTACAAAGTGAGTCCCTCTCTTGGGAAACCAAAAGAAAAGAAAAGAAGGAGAAAAGAAAAGAAGGATAAAAAAAAAAGATCTTGGCTCCAGCACAGTATCATTAGACCTGTGTCTTCCGTGTGAGAAGACCAGTCCAGAGAGGGCAGCAGCTGTTCTGTGTGAGTGTAGCACCAGACTGCGCAGAGACAGGAGCGTCTGTCTGCCGGGCCGGGGGCCTGCATGCCGTGAGAAGAGGTCATTGTTCCTGGGGAGGACAAGGGCTTGTCCTGTGACATGCTGCCTAGGGCCTGGCCTGGTGTCCCGGACGCTGTGCTGGGGCTGCCGAGAAGGGCCTGTCCTGAGTCTGTACAGGAGCAGAGCTGCATGCCGGTTCCTCGAGTTCCTGTTCCTCGCTGTCCCAGGTGTGCTGATGTGTGGGGGATGTGTGGGTCCTCTGAGAAGGTTCACGTGGACCCCTGTGCTCCCTTCCCAGCCCCGAGCCCTCAGCACCGAATCCTGCTGGACTTCCTTTTCCTGGACACCGAGTGCACCTACGACTACCTGTTTGTGTATGACGGTGACTCGTCCCAGGGCCCCCTGCTCGCCAGTCTGAGCGGGAGCACCCGGCCCCCGCCCATCGAGGCTTCCTCAGGCAAGGTCAGTGCCACCGGGTAGGTGGCCCGCTCGCAGGGTCCCCCTGCTCTGCAGAGGCTGACACCAGCCCGGCCCACATGGAAACCCTGCCCCATGAGGGGACACACAGGAGCTTCCTCATGCACACAGCAGGCAGAAAGGGAGACGGTGTGGGCTGGGGACGTGACTCGGTGGTAGAGGCTCTGCCCGGCACTCCCAAAGTCCTGGGTTCGCTCCCCAGCACCCCGTAAACAGCTGTGGTGGTGCACACTGGTAATGCCACTCCTGGGGAAGTGGAGGCAGGAGGGCCGGAAGGGGGTGTGAGGTCCCCCAGGTGGTGTGCCGCCCAGCGGCAGCCTGCCCACTGCCCCGCCCTCTTGCCTTGCAGATGCTGCTCCACCTCTTCAGCGATGCCAACTACAACCTGCTGGGCTTTAACGCGTCCTTCCGCTTCTCCCTGTGTCCGGGAGGCTGCCGGAACCACGGGCAGTGCAAGTCACCGGGCGTGTGTGTCTGCGAGCCGGGCTGGGGAGGGCCAGACTGCGGCCTGCAGGAGTGCTCGGCCTACTGCGGCAGCCACGGCACCTGCACCTCGGTGAGCTGCGCCGAGCGTCCCTGACCCTGTTGTGACCTCCCCGACCTGTGACTCCACCACCCACCTCCACCTCCTGTCCCTTTGAGGCACCACTTCTCACTCTGTCCTCATTGCTAGGCAACTATCACTGAGGGGTGATGCCCCGTGTCCTCCTTCAGGCTCACATCCTGCTCCCCTTGGCTATTCTGTTTGCCCTTGGGTGCCTGCCATGGTTGTTTCTGAGACAAGGTCTCGGCCTCTCTCTCTCTCTCTGGTTTTTCCAGACAGGGTTTCTCTGTGTAGCCCTGGCTGTCCTGGATTGATTTGTAGACCAGGCTGGCCTCGAACTCACAGAGATCCTCTGCCTCTGCCTCCCGAGTGCTGCTGCGCCAGCACTCCTGGCTCCCTGCCCTGACTTCTGTGCTTTCACCCTGACTTTACACCTCAGCTCTGCACCCTCAGCTTGGGACCCTCCTTGCCTCGACCTCCCAGATCTGAGCTCATCCAGCGTGGGTGGAATGTGGACCTCACGGGCCCTCTTCTGTCTGTCCTTGCCTTTTCTGTGGGTCTGTCTGCTCTGTCCCACCTTTCCGTGCGTTCCTGGCCCACATCTCTGTCTTTTTTTTCTCCTTGCCTTTTTCCCCTTCCTCCCAGACTCTGGGACCGTGCCGCTGCGAGCCTGGCTTCCTGGGCCGAGCCTGTGACCTGCACCTGTGGGAGAACCAGGGGGCCGGCTGGTGGCATGCCGTGAGTGCCGGGGACCCCGCCTTTTCTGCCCGCATCGGGGCCGCCGGCGCCTTCCTGGCCCCGCCAGGGCTGCTGGCTGTCTTTGGAGGTAGGTGGATGGTGAGAGGGTGGGTGAAGGGTCTGGAGGCCTGTCAGCCAGGGCCGAGGTTTGAGAGCATTTGCCTCATCTGCAGGCCAGGACCTCAACAAGGCCCTTGGTGACCTTGTCCTGTACAACTTCTCCACCAACACCTGGGAGTCCTGGGACCTGAGTCCTGCTCCGGTATGGACCCTCCGCCCTGGCTGGGCCGGCCGCCCACCTCCCACTCCACAACCCTGCTGCCCCAGCTGGACAACCACATCTGGATGCCTGCGGTTCCCTGCTGTCTGTGTGCTAGTGTCTTCCCTTCTTCTTCCCAGTTTTTTACTCTTCTGTCTCCTTCCTCTTTCTCCTTCCCTCGGCCGGCCTCCTGCTTCCTCCGCTCCCCTTTCTCCCTCCCTCCCATTTGTTGAGACGGGCTCTCAAGACGACAGACAGGGTGGCTTTGAACTCCTGGTTCTCCTGCTCCTTCCTTGCTAGACTGTAGACATCTGTACTCCGTTTGCGCCTCTCTTTCAGTCCATCTTTCTCTCTCTCATTTCTTGCCATCTTGTTCTGTCTTGGTCTCCTTTCATGTGGGGTTGTTCCTTTTGTTCACTTTAATTTCTGTCTTCCTGTCTTCTCACTCTCTCTGTGTTGCCATCTCTGTTTTTATTTTCATCTGTCCGTCCGTCCGTCCTTCCCTCCCTTCCTCCTTTTTTCCTTTAGGTTAAGGGCTTAGGTTATTACGGATCTCAGGCTGCAGCCCAGTGGCCTTGAAGTCACGGCAGTCTTCCTGTCTCAGCCTCCCAAGCATTAGATTAGAAGTGCATGCCACTGGGCCCGCCCCCCCCCTTTTGTTCTGGCTTGGCTTTTTTGTCTGTCTGCCTGAAGCAGGGTCTCATGTCTAGTCTAGTCTAGTCTGGTCCCAGATTCACCATGTGGCTCAGGCTGGCCTTGAACTCCTGATCCTCCTGCTTCTGTCTTTGTTTCTCAAGTCCTGTGTCTCCAGGTCCCTACCGCCTCCCTTGGCTGGTCTTCCCTTCCCCTCTGACGGCTGTTTGTCTGACTTTGCATGTCTGTGCTCTGGCCCTCTCCATGGGTTGCCGTTTCTGTCTCCTCCCCGCAGGCTGCCCGTCACTCCCACGTGGCCGTGGCCTGGGCTGGCTCCCTGGTGCTGATGGGTGGGGAGCTGGCCAACGGCTCGCTCACCAACGATGTGTGGGCCTTCAGCCCCCTGGGCGGAGGCCACTGGGAGCTCCTGGCACCGCCTGCCCCCAGTTCCTCCGGGCCGCCGGGCCTGGCAGGCCACGCCGCTGCTCTAGTGGACGACACCTGGCTGTACGTGTCCGGCGGCCGCACACAGCGTGACCTTTTTTCCTCCGGCCTTTTCCGCTTCCGCCTGGACCGCAGCAGCAGGGGCTACTGGGAGCAGGTGACCCCGGCGGGTGGACGGCCCCCCGCTGCCACTGGCCACTCCATGGTGTTCCACGCTCCCTCCCGCACCCTGCTGGTCCACGGCGGGCACCGGCCTTCCACTGCGCGGTGAGCAGCCTTGGGCCGCCCAGCCCGACCTTCTGGGACTGAGTCTTTAGAGGCCCTCTCCCTTATCTCCCCTCACTCCCTCTCTTGCCCTCCTGTGACTCCTTACTCAGGCTCTGACGGGGCTTTCCCACACACTTCCACTCATTCACCGCCTCCAGCTCCTGTGCGATTACGCAACGTACCAGGCCGGGTCTGCCCATCCCAAACGTCTAGTCAGGATGGGATACAGATGAGGTCACGGCTGGTCTCCGTCCCGGTCTGAGCCCTGGCCTGGCCCTTTCCTGCAGGTTTTCCGTGCGGGTGAACTCCACCGAGCTCTTCCATGTGGATCGGCGCGTGTGGACCACGCTAAAGGGCCGGGATGGACTCCAGGGTCCCCGGGAGCGAGCCTTCCACACAGCCAGTGTTCTGGGAAACTACATGGTGGTCTATGGTGAGCAGTTGCCCTAATCCTGCCTGCCTGCCAGGGGCCTGAGCCCACCCTGAGCTGACACCAAGCCTGGACTTCCCCCCTCCTCCGAGGCCTGCCTGAGCCCGCCGGAGAGGAGACACAGCCTGGGCGGCTTCTTTTCCCAGGGGGCAATGTGCATACCCATTACCAGGAGGAAAAGTGCTATGAAGATGGCATCTTCTTCTACCACCTTGGGTGCCACCAGTGGGTGTCAGGGGCAGAGCTTGCCCCACCAGGAACCCCTGAGGGTGAGTCTCTGTTGCCCTGAGGGCTTTTGGGCAGCTCTGAATTTCAGCAGAGGTGCCTCTGGGCAAAGCATCCTGCCAGAATGGCCTCTGGGACCAAGCCTAGTCTAGGGCAGGGTCTGTGGCCAGGAAGTGGATATAGGGGCCTGAACCTTGGTTCTGTTTCTGTGCATGCGCAGTGGGCACATGTGGGAGCCAGCGGGAGAGTCATCCTCTGCTACTGCCCGCCTTCCACCGTCCATGAGTGTCAGGGTCTCTCATGGCCTGGTCTCACCAGCTGGGCTGGGCTGGTTGGCCAGGGTGGCCAGGGCTTCCCCCTGGCTCCGGCTCCACAGCCTGGGATCATGGCTGTGCTGCCATGGGACAGTTCTGGCATTGACCCATGGAGCCGTCTTCCCAGACCTCGGTTCTCGCTGGGAGTTTGCGGCCACCGGCACTGAGCTGCTTCTTGGGAAGCAGCAACTGCACGGTCATAGCGGGCGGCAGGTAGAACCAGGGCTTCTGGCTTCAAGCAGGCGTCTGATCAAAACCGCCTTCCTGCCTGCACCTTCCGCTCCTCGCCCACCGTGTGGGTCTGCTGGTGCTCGTGCAGCTCCACGGGGTGGCGCTGATGGTGAAGCAGAAAGCGCATGGCGGACGTCCAGTGCATTCTCTTCCTTCAGGGCTGCTCTTAAAAAAACAACAAGGCCATTTTCCAGGGCAGCGGTGGCCCACGCCTGTAGTCCCAGCATTCAGGAGGCAGAGGCGGGCGGAGCTCTGAGGCAGGGGGAGTGTGAGGCCAGCCTGGGCTGCCGCGTGAGTCCAAGACAGCCAGAGCTACACAGAGAAACCTTGTCTCGAAAAACAAACAGACAAAACTGATTTTTTTCTAGGCTGTAAAGATGACTCAGTGGGTAAACATTTGCTTTGTAATGTGAGGACTCGAGTTCAAATCCCAAGTGCCCATATAAGTGCCAGACATAGCCACACAGGTGTGTAACTCAGTGCTGATTGTCAGAGAAAGGTGGAGCTTGCTCGCTGGCCATGATCACCGAAACAGGGAGCTTCGGGCTCAGTGAGAGACGCTGTCTCTAAATGGAAGCTGGAGAGCACCGTGCTTTAGCCTCTTCGTGTGCAGACCCTGTCTCTAAATGGAAGCTGGAGAGCACCGTGCTTTAGCCTCTCCGTGTGCAGACCCTGTCTCTAAATGGAAGCTGGAGAGCACC